ATAAATAAATAAATAAATAAATAAATAAATAAATAAATAAATAAATAAATAAATAAATAAATAAATGTACTAAGCAACAGGATTTTCACCAATGTGAAAATCACATAGTCCTATGGACTGTGACCTTAAAGACTAACAAGTCTTATTAGAAATAAGCTTTTGTGGACTGCCCACTTTATCAGATGGAGTGCATGCATTATATTAAAAAATAAATAAATAAATAAATAAATGTACTAAGCAACAGGATTTTCACCAATGTGAAAATCACATAGTCCTATGGACTGTGACCTTAAAGACTAACAAGTCTTATTAGAAATAAGCTTTTGTGGACTGCCCACTTTATCAGATGGAGTGCATGCATTATATTAAATGGACTGCATTGTACAAAAAAAAAGTATACCAAATAAGAGTTGTTAGTGCTTAGGGCGACGTGGCACAAGAGACTTTGTAGTCATTAAGAAATAGTAGTTAGTAACACCAATAGTATTGCACAATTAGCACATTCATATCCATAGTTGGGTTTTTACAAAGGCTTTGTCCCTATTCAAGCTGATAGAGTGGAACCTCTTGATACGTTATGCAGCTATTTCCTCATTGGGCTCTGTTCTCAAAGGTTGTTTTTGGTGCGTTCATTATACTAAGCTGATTTGTGGATTTCAGAGTACCAATATGCCCTGCAAAAAGTCACATCAGGGCTGAAAAAGGAAGTATTAAAATAAGGGAGCTATAGAAGGATGCAGTGTCTTTGCCCATCTCTAGTATGAAGCTGGTCTCACTATAGGGAAAAAAGAACTTCACCTACTGAATTTGGTAAGAGCAAGCAGCTTATTTTAATGTGACAACCCATCAAGCTTTATCTTGGTTTGGCTACTTCACACCTGAGAAAGTGCAGTAGATTTCTTATTATGCTGTTAGCAATGGTGTCTTACAGTTTGTTCACTGGATAATGATATGTCTGCTGGAGGGAAAGCCACAGTTTCACAAAATGATCAAGGTCCTTGTGCTCAGCAATGCAAGAATTCTGAGCTTCTTTCTCAAAGAATGTCAGAATTTCCTTCTCTAAGAAAAAATTGCTATGCTGGAAATGTGAGCACCACTTTTGTTTGTAACAAAATGAAAGATGGATGGATCAGAGTTTAGATTGGCCCTGCAAAATCACCTTCTCCTTTACATTAAAAAAAAGAATTAAATGAAAACTAGTGTTAAGGAAGAGACAGATGAGCATGGACAACTATCAAAAGTATACACAGATTAATGCATTGTACACTGCACAATTTCTTCTGCATACGTAGCATTCTCAAATAGCTAATATAAGGAACCATCCTATCCTGAGAAGAACCCTGGTGCATTTGTAAATTTTTAGTCTTGGCTAGTAGCTTTGGTGATACTAGAATTATAGAATACATTGCTTACCATTAGAGATGGGGACAAATATAAAAACGATCGGTTTTTCTGATGAATATAGCTGATTCGTTAAACATTTGTCGATCTGTATTTGTGTGTCCTAGAGACCCTCATGAATACAAAGGTATGAATATTTACCCGTTTTATTCATCCTTTGTATTAAAAAAAAACACCCTCAAAACACAGTTCTGCCTACCAGCTGCCAATCAGCTGATTGGTGGCAGAAAGGCAGCCACACACATACCACAGCCACCCAATACCACAGCCTACCCCACCCCTTCCTATCCCTGCCTTAGGCCCCACCGTCACCAACACCCTCTTACCTTAATCACTGCTGCCGAGGTTTTCTGGCCTTGGAGCCATGCATGTAAAAATGGAAACCGGCTGCCCTTTGTAAAGATGGTGGCTGCAGCTTTATTTATTTATTTATTTATTTATTTACTTATTTACT